GAAGTGGTTACAGAGCAGGTATAATTTCCCACTGCCCTTTGCCTCTTCTACGGTTGGAGGGACAGACTCGAGCCTTTGCGCCATTCCCTATCACCTGACAATCACAGTCAGTTTGCAGGGTGTCATAGCAACAGCTTCTGAACACTTCAAACAGGGGAACAGAGGTGAGTGACTAGTATTGAGTTGACAAACTGTTGGGCAAAGCGTCTGGAGAGATGCTCAGTGGTGAAGAGCACATGCTACTCTTCCAGAGCACCCGAGGTCAGTTCCCAGCATTCACATCAGGAAGTTTCCATGGAATCTGATGCCTTCTCACCTCTACAGGTACCCAAATACATACACATGAAAAAAATTAAATAAATTTTAAAACTGTTAGGTATTTCTTTTGGTCTGAAGCCTTGGATATAGATTACTGAGACTCCAAGATCATTTGTAAATAATACCCAAAAATGTTTGGGAGCCTCTGCCTTAGAAGGATGACAGATCAAAAGATGAAGGATCAAAATGCCAGGCTCCTAAATGTCTACATGGAGAAAAGGCAGGTACTAATGAGGAACTCCCACACCAGGTTGGTAGAATAATAAACTTTTGTTGCATTAACTCTACGGAGTTTGTTATCACAGATAGCATTACCCTAAACGATGCCCAGAGTATGTGGGAATCTTTTCCTGAGGCCACAGGTGGTGACAGCAGATAACTCACAATCCCTGACAGTAATGAGCCAAACCACATCCCGCTGGAAGCCACTAAGTCAAGAGAAGGGCATACCTATCGAATACTCAGTCAACACACAGCTCCCCTATCCCTCTCCAGCTAAGACTTACCTCACGGAAAAGGAGAAGAATGTGGACAAGGCAGAGGAGGCTAAGGACTTGGTTCGTTCTAGTTCCCTTTCCGTGACTGTGATAAAACACCCTACCAGGAGCAGCTTAGCGAGGAGAGAGTTTATTTGGCTTATACTTCTAGGTCACAGTCCATCACTAGGAGAAGTTGAAGCAGGGTTTCAAAGCAAGAATCTGGAAGCAGGAACCAGGGAGGAACACTGCTTGGTGGCTCACTCAGGCTCCCCCTTAGCTGACTTCCTTATATAGCCTGGGACCACATCTCCAGGGAATTATAGCACCCACAGTGGCCTGAGCCCTCCTATATCAATTAACAATCAAGACAATCCCTCACAGGCATGCCCACGGAACCACCTGGTGAAGGCGGTTGAGAGTCTTGTCAACTCTGTGTCAAGTTAATCTAACTAGGGCAGAACTAAATGGGACCATGTGATTGTAAATTAAAAGTAGTGTTCTTCCATCAGAAGGTGAATTGCGCAGGGCTTGTGTTGGTTTTGTTTTTTAACTAGGTCCCACTAGCCTCGGCTGGCCTTGATTCCTGAACCTCCTGCTTCAACCTCTTGAATGCTGAAATTGCTCGTCTTCCCCATTTCACTTTGCTGGGGTGATGGTCCAGCTAATGGGGGTTTTCTGCCCACTGGGTCAGGAGCCTGAGCCCCTGCGGTCCTGCTGAAGGGGCTACTACAGGCCCATTAGCCATTTCTTTAGGGCACACTTGTTACCAGGGAAATCAGGATTCTGTCTTGAGCTCTTATGGGACTCGAAGGACAGGTAAGCACACCAAGCCCTGTAACCTGAGTTCAATTCCTGGTTCCTACATGATGGAAGAAGAAAAATAACTCCTGAGAGTTACCTTCTGAGATCCACGCATGTGCTGAAGCATATGCCCCCCTTCACAGTGGAATAAATAAATTCCTTAAAAATTCAAAAACAAATGCAACTTCTAACCCTAGACTCAAAACAACAACAACAACAAAAAAAAAACTTTAAAAACAGGCTCAGAAGGAAGCTCAAGCAGTGTTTTTATTTTGTTTGGTTTTTTTTTAGATTTTGAAAGAAAAACACTGGGGCGGGGCGGGGCAGGGCAGAGCAGGGCAGGGCAGGGCAGGCAAGCTTTAAACCTCAGTGGCTGCTAGGAGGTAGAAGAGATTGACTTTTTTTGAAGTCCAAGGAAGCCAGTGTGTTCAGCAGTCAAGGAACTGTGTGCCAGTTAGAGGCCTTCAGAGAAGGAGTGAGGAGGCCCAGAGGTCAGGGAAATCATGGGCCAGTGTCCAAAAGGAAAAAAGGGAGGAAGATGGAAATTTTGTTTTGTTTTGTTGGAATTCAGAAGAGTGGGTGAGGTGCAAGCTCTGCAGGGGTTGCAGGGGAGGGGCTTCGGGAAGGGCGAGTCAGGGGATTATTATTCCTCCCATCTCTTCGGTAAATCAGTTTTCCCCGAAGGTCAGTCTTCAGGCCAGGCAGCTGACATGCCCAGCTGCCGACATCAGGATGTGATGTTCTAATCTTTTTGGAGCAAAGATGAATGTCACGTCTCCACCCAGGGCCAGAGGCAGAACTCAGACTCCATTGTTTTGGAGAGGAGGAGACATTGCTCCCTCAAAGAGCCTCCACTGATACTACCAGTTTTTCTAAACCCTAAGGAGGGACAGCTGTGATGTTTTCCTTCTGGTGTTTACAGAGGATGGGGGTCCATCTGACAGATTGTATCCTGAAGCTAGTTTGTGGTGGTGCTGGGATTGAACTCGGGTCTTAACTCGTGTTAAGCAAGTGCTCTAACACTGAGCCACATCCTCGTCTCCTCTTCAGAGGGACCTTTAAAGGACCAGTGAGAGTTTTCAAATTCCATTTCAGTGAAACTAGCAACAGTCTCCAAGGGACTGGAATTTTTCTAAGACTCTCATGCTACAACAAGGAATATTGAAGCTTGGTACCAGCCTTGGGGGTGTAGGGGATACACTCGCATCCCTGAGATTCCACTTGTTTGTGTTGACTTGCAGGAGAGGGTGGAGTCAAACAATGATGGGTCAGTGATGGGACACCATGACCAGGACTGCTTGGCTTTGCATTCCCTTTCCCTAGGATCCTGGTGGTGAGCTTGGGGTGACTGGATCCCTTGGCTCGTCTTCCCAGTGTGGCCACATTAAATGAGTCTCCTCTGTTTTCCACTCTTCTTTGTCTCTTGCATTAGTGTGGTGGGGATGTGTTGCCGTTTGCTCCTCCATTGCTGTGATAAAATACTGACTTGGGGAGGAAAGAGTTTACTTCAGGTTTTAATCTATTATTTAGGGATGTCAGGACGGGAACCCAGAGGCAGGAACTGAAGCACAGACCATGGAGGAACACTGCTTACTGGCTTGCTTCCAGGCTCCTTTGCTGTTACCTTTCTCATACAGCCCAGGCCCACCCTGCTTAGGCATGGTGCTGACCACAGGACTGGGTCCTCTAGGTCAATCAGCAATCAGATAAATGCCCCCACAAACATGCCTATAGTCCGATCTGATGGAGGCAGTTCCTCAGTTGCTTTTTCCAAGACATGTGAAGTTGACAAGTAAGATTAGCCATCACAGGGTGTGTGGCTGAGGCTAGCCTGTTGGGGCTGTTGACTCTCTGGGTTTTGCCCTATGGGTTCCAATTATAATTTTGACCCAATATCCTTGGAATTTTAACACAGAGTTTGCTGTCACTATTCTCCATGTTTAAAACTTCCACAATTTAAATGTGTCAAAATTTACCACAACTTACATCAACGGAGCTCAGCTAGGGACAGTATTTCAGCTAGGGGAACACTGGACATCATCTGGAGCATTTTCAATGATTGTGTGCAAGGCCTCGGAGTGCATAGAACACACACACACACACACACACACACACACACACACACACACACACCAAAAAAAAAATAACTGGGCCAGAATTTCAACAGTACTGAGGTTGAGAAAGTCTAATCCAATTAATTTGCTTATAGGAATAGCCACTTCCTCAACTCAAATGGGGTTCTGTAAGGACAAGGTGTCATGTAGGACTCTTATCCTGGAACACTGAAGACAATAAATATGCACGCAGCCAGCAAATCATCAGGTGGCTCCCATTAGGTGCCTTCAGAGAGTCACCTCCTCAGTCATATCCTCCAAACAGCTGGCTCCTTGGATCAGGAGGGTCAGTAAGGTCACTGAGGCTGGGATATGGAGACACGCCTGGAATATTTGAGGTGGCACAATTCACCAGGTGCGCACCACAAGACCCAAAGGTTCGGTTTGCGTTCGTCTTTATTTTCTGCACAGTTCCTACAATGCCCTCAGCTTCTCCCTCCATTGAATAAATGTCACCAAACAATATTGTGATTTGTATTCCATACTTCACATGTGTCATTTCTAATAATTACAAATATATTTGTACCTCCTCTAGCAAAGGTACTCCTTCATCAGTATTATTTCTTTAGTGTTATTTATTTACCTGGCATTTTGTTTTGTTTGCTCTTGGGAGACAAAGTCTCATTCTGTGGCCCAGGTTGACGTCAGACTTCCAGCAGTCCTCCCGCCTCGGCCTCTGGAATGCTGGGATTACAAACCTATCTGTAGGGGCTTGCTTTTAGCCGTGTTAACTGGGTCCGGTGGCAAAAACTGCGTCCAGTCAGCCTGAAGTCTGTTGCCTACTTCACAATGTCACCTAGGGCACCCTGGACCAACTCATAATGTTACTTTCAGTGAGCCCTGCCCAGAAATGGGTCTCGATAGGGGGTCAGGGGTAGATCTGCTTCCAGCCCAGTGTGAATCAGTTCCGGCCAATGAAGCCAAGGCCGGGAGGTGTCGAGCTCCTGAGGTTAGACAGGCTGGCACAAGAGGCCCTGGTTCCTGACGGATGAGGGACCCGAAAAGACAGAAGGCCACAGAATCCGATCTGCGTGTAGGCAGAGGCATGCGACCCAAAGCTGCCTGGGGTACCTCATCTGTTGCCACAGGGGCCAAGGCCACCTTGAACTGATTCCTTGGCCCTGAGCCCCAAACCTGCAGGAGGCGGCCAGAAGCAGCGCAGCCCCTGTACTTCCCAAAAGCGCTACTGAGAACTTTCCCGGCCCGGCCCACAGGTGACTAGAGGGTCAGACCAGACGGAAAGGATCCGCCTATCCCAGCCTGGGGCTCAGAAGGGCGAAGGTTGGTTCCCAAGGCCACGCGAAGCGCCCGAACAGGCAAAACTAATGCCAGAAGAAAGTTAAGATCGCCCAGGCCTCTGCCACGCAACGCCCCACCGCCACCCCCGAGTGCGGCTCTTGCAACAGCTGTCACGGCCGGCGCCAGCGGGACCTAATCCAGCCCGGCAGAGGTCAGAGCGGAGGAGCGATGTCCCACCGCAGTCCTGGCAGGAGCCTCGGGCCGCCAGCGCCGCCGCCGCCGCTGCTGCTGCTGCTGCTGCTGCCGTTGCTACTGCAGCTTCCCTGGGCAGCCGCCCTGGAGCCTACGTCAACAGGTGAGCAGAAGGAGCGAGCGGCCGAGGACGGGGGCCGCCGCCCCGGACCCCCTTCACGCGCCCGCCCGCGGCTGGCCAGAGTCCCAGCAAGTTTACACCCAGGGGTGTCTTGGGTCGCACTTCTTGGTGGGGAGCCCGGCGGGTTGCGCTCCAGCCCTGCCGCAGATCAGCGGAGGCATTTAAGGCGGGAAACTAGGGGTCTGTCAACATCTAAGTATGTGTACCCAGATCGGACGGAGGTGTGATTTGAGGCCGGCCCATGTTCTGCTTCTACAGGCAGACAAGCGACTTTGGCTTAAGAGAATAGATGGCAAACGGGTAATGTCAGTTTGATATGGGACAGGGACAGAACAGAAGGGAGCTATGCTCTTTCCTCCAAATGGCCTCATAATCCAAGAGGATAAAAATCTCCATTCTACAGCCCAAAGAGCTGGGATGGGGAGGAAGTCAGGAATTTGCATAAAGATAAGACAGCTGAGTTGCCAGAGGGCACTGGTGTAACCCTTCCTGTCAGAAAAGCAGGTCTCAACAAGCGCCCTTCCCTTCTCATCCTTCCATATGCAAGACCAAAATGAATTGTTGGGTTATGCAGACTTGGAAGACTCCAAAAGTCAAATTTGGAGAGGATTAATTTGATTTCATAATCTTCTCCATGCTGGCCTTGCCCAAGAATAGGGTGGGCCTTGGGTCTCCTTCCCAAAATCGCTCTGATTTGTGTTACCTTCCAGTCCACAAGCACCTGTACCCTGGGGGATTTTGAGGCGTTTGCTTTCAACATCTGCTCCAGTAAGCGCAGGCCCGTGGGATGAGAAGGCACTGGTCTAGAAGCACCTGGTGTCTCCCCTGATTGAGCTGCATGTTCTTTGGTCTCCCCTGAACACACACACACACACACACACACACACACACACACACACACACACACGCACGCACGCACGCACCTTTCAGTCCTGAGAAGTTGCTGGTTCCTTACTGTGGCCAGCAGTCCTGAAAGGCTCCTCGGCATGGGTTTGAGGATAGTTCAAGACGCTGCAGTGACTCTTGGAAACACATGTAATTCCCTTTGTTCCTCTTTATTCATCTGTTAGTATTAATGTGGGTTCTGTAGTGGAGTCTCCTCAACCTTCCAGTACGTTGTGTAAAATCTGAATCGTAAAGAGCAGGGACTTTGCTATCCCCTGTGCTCCCTGATGTACCTAGCTCAGTACTGTGAGCTCAGTCAGATTTTGTCCTCACTTTTCCTGGGGAGAGGTGAACTAACATATATTCACCCCAGACGGGACACCCCCTAAGCCATCTTACTGGCTCACTTTTACTTTTCAATTTGGGTTTCTTTTTATTCTAGAAATTGGCAAATTATTTTACAGCCACCTCTTCATATTGTTCCAGCTACAGCATACAGTTGACAGAGGACCTGTCCTTGAAGACTGAAAAGCCCATATGTATTTTTCAGAACATCCTTGTATAGTTTTACTGTGTGTGTGTGTGTGTGTGTGTGTGTGTGTGTGTGTGTGTGTGTGTATGTTCAAAACTGGGAATTGAACCCAGGTCCCCATGAATGTTAAAACATACCCTCTACCATCAAGTCACGCCACCCCAACTCTCGCCAATGGAGAATAACCCTCTTAATGGAATGAATGGCCAAGCCGGATGGTCGCTGGAGAGAGTCAACCTCTCTGAGACTCAGAATGTAGCACATTCCTTTGTAAAACTGGTTCTTCATCTGGCCGTCAGCCTTGCAGGGTAAGACTCCAGAAGTCAGTATTTGCAACATGCCAGATGTGATCAGATCTGTGGGAGCCAATTCACCCTGATACACACCCAAGTCTGTTCCCAGACTCATCCTTAATTATTCATTAGAAATATAACTGTCAGGCTGACTGGGTGCTCCTGTAGCCTGCTTCAGGCATATTCTTCCTGCTAGCAGAACACACAAGGAGATGTTATTGGGTTCTACATCTGGGGGTCTGACTCATCTGCCCTCAGAAGAACCTGGAGTCAGCCGGTGGGAGCAGCCATCTGGGTGGTACTTATCTGCTTGGGCCATGTGACTAATGGTGGGCATCTGCCTGGCCACACAGCCAAGCCTCGCCAATGTGCTCTTACTCTCCTGGATGTCATTTAGTCTCCTTGAGGTGTCATGGCCGACAGCTGGTGGTCCAGTCTCAATGGATGCTTTAACTCTGAATTTACTAAAGTGGGTCTCATGGTTGCTCCGTGGGCTTATTTGTAGCATGGAAGTTCTTTATTATCTTTTATTCTTTTAAAGACAAGTTATCAGTGTATAGCCCTGGCTAGCCTAGAACTCACTGTGTGTACCAGGCTGACCCAGAACTCAGAGAGATCTACCTGCCTCTGCTTCCTGAGTACTGTACTTAAAGTCATGAGCCACCGCACTAGCTCACTAGCTCGGTCCTGTTGTCCTTACACAGTGTTCCAATTGCTCCTGTATGCTGAATTTTTAACTTTAAAGGGTGGTTGGTGAGGTATTGCTAGAGTTATTATGTTGCTTCTTTGTACTAGGGCAAAAGAGGAACTTACTTAATATTGTTTAAAAAAAGAGAGGTAGTGAAATTATGGGGAAATGTTTGTGTAAAACAAAACTTGCAACTCTGTGTCCACACCATTCTAGATATCACGTGACATGTGTCAATCTTTTGGGGGAAGTTGTGGAAGTCTTTTGATTGAGATTTGAAAACAGAACAAACACATCTCTGAGAGAGACTGCCCTGCTCTGAAAGGCATCCATCCATCAGTCTGGCACGTGCTGCAGTGGGCCCAGCATGAGGGGCTGACCAGCTACTTAAGCACTGTTCTCCTCAAGATCCTCTGTAAACTCAAGTGACCACCATCTTAATTCATAATTTGAAATCATGAATCAATACACAGGGGCCAGTGGGATTGCTCAGCCGGAAAGGCTCATGGGGCATGAGGCTGACCTGAGTTTGACCCCTGGGCCTCACAGGGGTGGCGAGAGATACCCGACTCCACTCTCCACAAAGCTGTCCTCTGACCTCCCCTCTGGGCTGTGGCCTGCGCACTCACATACATCAGTATACTGTGAATTCCACGTGTGTTCCCACGTGTAGCCTTCCAGTCAGGGTTCCAGTTTGGGATTTAGGTGGCCATGTAATCAAGAAAGAATTGTGCTAGGCCTGAGGGAGTGGATGTGATGACAGATGAGACTCACCTCCCATCCCCAAGGAGCTTGTGATGGAGACTATTGGACCAAACACACACAAATATGTCTCGTTAATGAGTACTCTGGATGAGTGGTGACTCAGAGTACCAAATCTGCCAGGCATGGTGACGCACACCTTAATCCAGGACTCGGGAGGCAGAGGAAAGATGATCTCCATAAATTGAGGCCAGCCTGGGCTACACAGCAAATTCCAGGCCAGCCAGAACTGCATAGTGAGACACTCTCCCCAAAACCCAGGGTAGGGCGGGGGTTGGGGATAGGGAGGGGGTTGGGAGGGGAGAACACAGGCCAAATCAGGATGAGGCCAAGTTGGTGTTCAAGGGGGTAAAAGAGAAGGACCGTTTGGGATCTGAGAAATCTCCAGTCGTCCCCTACATTCATGTTTTGTTGTTTCTTAACCGTTCTTCAGGGCCATTGGCCATTTGCGCCAGCTTCTCACAGTGCGCCCTACTGTGCCTCGCTCCGGCTGCACCCCACAATGTCTTGCTTTCCACTTCAGAGCATCTCTGACTGCAGACTTTACACGGGGTTCTTACAAGCCTGCAGGAGAGGGCTTTAACCCGAGGCAGGGCATCTTACGATTATGCAGGGCAGGAAGAGGCAAAGAAATGTGCCCCTTTCCATCCATGTTCGGATTTTTGTTTGTCTGGAGATGATGTCTGACTATGGAGCCCAGGCTAAGCTTAGATTCACAGCGACCCCCTGTCTCAGCACCCCAAGTGCTGGGGTGACAGGAGTGAGCATGGTCATGACCTGTTGTTCCTCTCCCATCCTTGGGATGGAGCCTGCAGAAGCTTGTTCCACACACTTCCACAGCAGGGCCCAGTCAGATCAGTCAGTCCACAGTGGGGTGGACTCATCGGCTTCCCCCATTTTCTCTGCTCTCCCAGACCTTCATTCTACTCCCAGGGAAAACTTGCCCAAACATCTCTCCTCTGAGCCAGAGATGTGGGCTTTGATGTCTGCACAGAGAGGCAAGCTGAACACCATTTTCTTGCCCGGACACTGCAAAACTCACAAACTAGTTATTTCCTCAGTAACTCTGACGGAGACTTAAAGTAAGTCTAGAAGCCAGAGTGCAGCTTCCTGGGGGCCCTTGTAGGAAGAGAAAGTATGAAGAACCACTGCATACAAGCCAGGTGCGCATAAAAGAGGAAGCAAGTGTGAGGTACATCAGTGAACCTGACCTCAACCCAATCCGAACAGAATAAACCTCAGTGTTGGTATTTTATTTCTCTCATATACCCCACCTGCTCAGTCTCTCTTCTTTCTCTCTTTTTCTCTCTAAAGGACTGATCCAGAAGGCCAACACTGTCACCTAGAGTTAAAAGCCATTCACTCTTCCATAAAATGAGATGCAAAGAAAATTAGTTCTAAACATGAGAGTCAGCCAGACTGGTAGCTCATACCTGTAATACCAGCTCTCAGGGAGCTGAGGCAGGAGGACCGTCATGAGATAAAAGCCAGTCTGAACTACAGAATGAGTTCCAGCCCAACCTGGGCTGCAGAGGAAGATCCAATCTTAAAAGATAAGTGGAGAGAATGCATTTTACAAATTTTAAGGACTAGGCTTTGTTTGTTTGTTTTTTCAATTGAAAATAAGCTCATACAGAATAGTAAAATGCACAAGAAATGTAAAGAGGACATTTGAAGTTTGTTTGTTTCATGGAAAATATGAAAACCACTGGAAGTGCCCCAGCTTTATTTTAAGAAAAAAAAAAACCCTCTCTTTGTAAGGTAGCCTTTGTACAGTCTGACAAATGATCTACAACAGCCACATTTTCAGTTTTGAATGAGTTTATTAAGCAGTAAAAGGGGGATGCAAGACATCATCACATGGGGTGCTCAAGGCACCCTACAGAAACCAGCTGGGAAAGCCCCATTAAGGCGGCCAGCTTCAGTCCCAGGCAGAGCTGCCCTGGGCTGAGGCTTCCAGACAAAGGGACAAATAACTGCTAGAGACACTCTCCTCAGAGTCCATGCTCAGGACTTCCTGCAGAAACTGGCTGGGAAGCTGAGGTGCTACCTGGACTTCAAATTGAGCTTTCTCTCTGTGGACAAACATCCACGACTGAACTTCCAGCCCCTACTACAGGCACCTTTACATCTCGGGATAAATAATAGTGACCTTGGATGGAAACGGTTTAATTCCTAAGCTGTTGTGAAGGACACTGGGTTTTTTATTCCTGGGCTGTTTTGCTGTTCTCTGCCCTCCCCCTGCATCCCCCCTCCCCCCGCCCTCCAGCCCCAGTCACAGATTGGGGTAGGGAACCTATACCCAAACCTTGGAGGACTTTTTTGAGACAAATATGCTTGAGTCTGAAATGAGGTCAGGGCAACCCTGATCCTAGGTCCAGCTTCTCAGGGAATTCAGAGAACACACAACAGTTCAACAATATGATGCACATTACAGCAGCATTTCAATGAAGTCAGATGTGGATCCAGTGTGTTGATTTTGAGGGTGTTGCTGTTAACCAAGTTTGAATCTATCTTTCGTTGCTGCAATTCTAAAGAGAACATCAACCCACTTAGGACTTGCCTCTTGGGCTAGAGAGACGTCAGCAGAATGGCTGAGCCATCCTCAGGCCTCTTACTTACGTTTGCGAACATAATTACAAGAGTGATGTTAGGTCAACCTCTATGGATGAATTAATGTCTGAATAATCTTGCTTTTCATTAGAAGGACGAGCACAGAGCTGAGATTGTATAGCTTGGAAGGAGGAGGCCAAAGGGTCAGAAGTTCAAGGTCTTCCCGGGCAGTATATGGAGTTAGAAGGCAGCCTGGGCTATGTGGATCGTCTCAAAATACATAAATAGGGCTAGTGAAATGGCTTAGTAATTGAGAGCACTAGTTCCTGCAAAGGACTTGGGTTTGATTCCCAGCACCTACATGGAGGCTCACAACCGTCCCTAACTTCAATCCCAGGGGATCTAACACCCTCTTCTGACCTCCAAAGCAACCAGGCACACATAGGCACCAGACATGCACATGGTACACAGCCATACATGTGAGCAAAACCCTCATAAAATAAATCTTTTTTAAAAAAAAACACACAATGAGAATCCTCAAAGAAATATCATTTTGTTGGGGACAGCAGCCCTTGGCAGAGGTGGGCGGATATGCTCTTTGCTTTCAAGGAGCTGCTGAAAACGAAGTCAGGGTTAAAAGGACACAGTATTTTCCCCACCAGGCCACTTTCTCCAACATCTGCCCCTGCATAGAAATGCTCTTCAACAGTAGAAATGTATGATGGATTAACATGCTAAGGGATTTGGAAAACAAAATAGTATAGACACTAGAAAAGAAGAAGGAACTGATAGAAACCACGGGATGAGTGAAGTCTATTAGGGGTGGCCCAAACCCCTCAGATTTGGGGTCAATTTTAAAAGCATACCCTGTGGGTAGTAAGCTGTTTTTGGTGAATTCTCCTGAGGATGGGGCTGAGGTGTCATGCGGAGGTATGCTAGTGTCAGAGAAGCTGGCTTTTGTGGTCAGGGAAGCAGGTAGCTCTAGCAAGAGCGAACTGAGCCCTTGGATGCCAGCCTCAGCATGCAGCGGAAGGCTTTGGGAAAGATACATCTAAGTGTGTTTAAAGGGCACAGCAGAAAGGGAAGAGACCTGTGGGCTCACTTGCCTTCTCTCTTTCTCTTATGGTTCCTGTTTTGTGATTTCTCCTGCCTCAGTTTTTGTGGTAAAGCCAGCCCCACTTCCTCATTTCCAGAGGTGAGGTGTGTGTGTGTGTGTGTGTGTGTGTGTGTGTGTGTGTGTGTGTGTGCTGTTGTTAAGGCTGTCATTTTGCTCTGTAGCCCTGGCCAGTCTGGGACTAGAAGGCTGGCCTCAAACCTGCAGGTATCCTCCTGCCTCTGCCTCCTGAGAGCTGGGATTACAGTCATATGCAACCATGCGAGACCCACCAGGAATGTAATGCAAAACTTCACTTCCATTTAACCTTTTGCAAAGGCCTTCTGCTTAGGTCTGATGGCATATATTTGCAAATGGAGTTTGAGGCAGGAGGGTAGTGAGTTTTAGTCCAGCCTGAGCTGAGAGGGTAGTGAGTCTGTGCCTCAAACAACAGCATAACAAAAACCCCTTCTTCCTGTGACCCTGTTTGTCTTCCGGTTCAGTGTGCATGGTGATTCTTATCTAGTCCAGAATCCTAGCCAGGGGATGGTGCCACCCACAATGGGTGGGTCTTCCCACCCCAGTTCATGAAATCATGAAAATCCCCCACAGGCATGCTCAAAGGCCCATCTCCCATGTGATTCTAGATTGTCAAGTTGACAGTTAACATTTACCATTACACAGATGTACACCACCATGCTGGACTCCTTCCACAGTTATTTATTGAGCACCTACTATGTGCCAGGTAATATATCTGATGGGAAGAAACTGTCTCTGGATTTGAGCAGTTCACCATGTAGGGTTAGGTGTCAAGGAGTGGGGACAGTGACCCCTGTGAGGCAGGACAGTTTCCTGAATCCTCAGTCACCATTTCCACACTGTTAGCCTGCTAACAAGAGAGGGACTATCAGGAGGAAGAAGCGGTAGGTATGTATCAGAAGGGCTGACCCAGTTCCTGGCAGGATGGAGAGCTGGATGTATGGTTTTTGAGTCCTGAAGTGCTTGGACTGGTGATGTTCCAGCTAGACACCAGGACAGGAAGTAAGATCAAGAGATGAACTGAGGAGTCTATTTTTAAATTTTTTTTTTAAAGTATTTATTTTGGGATAGGATCTCACTAAGCTGTACTCAAACCTGAGATCCTCCTGCTTCAGCCGTCCAAAAACTGGGATGACAGGTAGGCATGTGTCACCACCATGCCTGTCCATGCCTGGCTTAAAGTGGAAATCTCTCTCTCGCTCTCTCTCTCTCTCTCTCTCTCGCTCTCTCTCTCTCTCTCTCTCCCTCAAGTGTCCCTTGGGCTGCTGTCTACCTTTTTTATTTCTTTATTTTCAAGACAGGTTTCTTACTGGTCTGACCTGAGGCTAGACTAGCCTGCGAGCTCTGGGAGCCACCGGTACCCACCTCCCAGCACTGGGGTTACAGACACATGTCACCACACCTGGCTTTCACTTGGTGCCAGAGATCAAATTTAGGTCCTTACGCTTGCTTGGCAAGCACTTCACTGACCGGGCCAGGTGCCCAGTCCGTAGGACAGAAACCTTTAAAAACAAACTCTGGAATGTTGGTCGCACGGGGGAAGGCACAGGCCGTAGTTGTGTGGCGCCCCTCACGGCTCCCTCTCCCTACAGGGGTCTACTATGCAACCGCATACTGGCTACCTGATTCGAAGACAGTGGAGATCAAGAATGTACTGGACAAGAGTGGGGACGCCTACGGCTACTACAATGACTCCATTGAGACCACAGGCTGGGGCATCCTGGAGATTAAAGCTGGGTATGGCTCTCAGACCCTGAGCAATTCCATCATCATGTTTCTGGCTGGCTACCTGGAGGGCTACCTCACCGCTCTGTAAGTACACCTGCCTTTGCTTCATCCAGCGATGGCTTCTGGACCCTGGTGGGGTGTGTTAGGAGTGGAAGGTAGCCGGGGTGCACTCAGCATCCCACTCTACCCATAATCATACCTGCCTAAAGGACTCAAAGCACCCGTTCATTCTCATAACACTTCTTTCTTGACATCTTCCACTTCCTTTTTGTTGTTTGTTTGTTTTTGTTTTGTGAAATAGGGTTTTTCTGTGTAATGGCTCTGGCTGTCCTGGAGCTCACTGTGTAGACCAGGCTGGCCTCAGCTCTCCATGTGGGTTCTCAGGGTCCTCATGCATATGTGACAGGCACTTTACCAGCAGCCATCTTCTCAGCCACCAGTTCTCTCTTATGAAACCATTTTGAAAGATATAAAACCATTGTTGAAACGTTATGCCATTCTACTAGCCATTTGCCGCTGGGTAGAAAGCAGATAAGGTGTGGAATGACGTCCTGAGAGCACAACGCAGGGGGGATTTATCAAACGTGAAGTGTAAGGGGCTGAAGAAACGGTTCAGTGGGTAGAGGCAATTCCCGCCAAGCCTGAGTTCAATCCCCGGGACCCACAAGACGAAAGGACAACTCTCATAAGGTGACCTCTGACTTCCTCCCATATACCATGACACACTCACTTCCTTACACACACCATCAAAGTATGAAGAAATGAAAACATAATGGAGATTGTTTAAATTAAGAAAATGTAAGAGCATTTATTTTCTTCCATTTTGAAACAATGCTTCCCAGTAGACCAAGAGGTTTAAATGGAAATCTTAATGAGTAGACGACGGTAACTATTCCTCCTAAGTCTATTGTTATTCAATCCTGGTGTCTCCACCTTCTCTTATAAAAACAACAAGGACATAGTTAATAATTTAATCACCATACTTAAGCTTTTCTGGAATTTGAAGCAGGGTCTCATGTATCCCAGGCTGGTCTTGAACTCATGAAGTCCAGAATGACCTTAAACTTCTGATCTTCCTGTCTCCGCCTCCCAAGTGCTGAGATTATAAGTGTGGGCCACCATGCCCAATTTCCTGCTGTACTGGGATCCTAACCAGGGCTTCCAGCACTCTGCCAGTATCAAGCTACCAGCTGAGCCGTGTCCCCGGCCACTTTGTTTGCTTGAAACAGGGTCTCATTCCGCCTCACTCTACAGCTATGACTGGCCTGGTAGATTGGCATACTGGCTGGAGTCATTAGAGAGGAAGGAGCCTCAGCTGAGGAAATGCTTCCAGGAGATCCACTCAATTAGTGATGGGGGAGGGCCCAGCCTGTGGTGGGTGGGGCCATCCCTGAGCTGGTGGGCCTGGGTCCTATAAAAACCCAGGGAAGCCAGGAGAAGCAAGCCAGTAAGCAGCACTCCTCCATGGCTTCTGTATCAGTTCCTGCCTCCAGGTTCCTGCCCTGCTGGAGTTCCTGTCCTGACTTCCTTCAGTGACAAACAGCAATGTGGAAGTGTAAGGCAAATAAACCCTCCCCTTCCCCATTTTCTTTTTGTTCATGGTGTTTCATCACAGCAATAGAAGCCCTAATTAAGACACCTGGGATTCATTAAGCAACCCAAGCTGGACTCAAAGATGCAGTGATCCTCCTGCCTCAACCTCCTGAGTGCTGGAGAATTACTTTACAGAGAAAAACCTTTAAAGGGAGCAAAGTTGCATCTCATTCAGTCACATCACACTTGATATAAAACTGTCTTTCCAGCTTGGCTTGCTTCTTTTATCCCCTGTGACCTAGTTAGGGACAGTTTTATCCAACCTTCTGGGGGCTATTAGACGCTTGTTGTGATAAGTTAAATACGGATCTTAACCTTGTTCTGAGCTCCTGAAATAGTATCAGTTCTGGACTCCGGCTCCTCTTTTATTACTTAGACGTAAGTGCACCGTGTGTGTGCAGTACTTGTGGAGACTAAAAGAAAGGCATCGAGAGCCCCTGTAACTGGAATTACCATGTGCATGCTGGGAACTGAACCCAGGTCCTCTGTGCGCTTAACCCCTGAGCCATCCCTCCAACCCCTTGGAAATACTTTTAAAACATCTTTAAAGCTATATTATATGGTAAATCCAACCTCTAGGCTCTCCTCAACTCTGTTTACACTTCCTTCTCCACTGAGTTGTGGCTGTGTGATTTAACCGAGTAGCAAGTTTGGAGAAATAATTCAGACCGGAATCGTTTGGCAATAAACAGATAAGGTTAAATTCTCAGTGGCATGTAGAGAGGCACTGAGGGAAAGCGAGTTCTGAGGGAGCAGCTTGGGTCTGGGGGACGTGCTAAGGATAAAGGCATCTTCCTTGGGTGTTTCCACCGAGGCCCACTGTTGGAGAGAGCCCATGGGGGTTGACAGGCCTCTGATGGGTGTGTGATGTCATTCTCATGTTGTGACATCTTACAGCAGACACTGGGGATGGGTTAGCGTTAGGGTATGGGTTTTTCAATACTTCTGTGTGTGTGTGTGTGTGTGTGTGTGTGTGTGTGTGTGTGTGTGTGTGTGTATCATGGCATGCATGTGGAGGCCAGAAGACACTCTGTGATACTTAGTTCTCCTTCTTGCTGGCAAATGTCTCTACCTGCTGGGCCATCTCACCAGCTCTGTACCTCCATTCTAGATATAAAGCATTTATCTTTGAATAACCTTATTCATTTGCCCCACCACCACCAAAAAAAAATCCATCAAAAGCATGTCTGTATAAATATTACATTATTTTTTGTCCCTCTGTTTTGTTTTTTTTGAAACAGCATCTCACTATGTAGCTCTGGCTGTCCTGGAACCCACTAGGTGGACCAGGCTGGCCTTCAGCTCACAGAGATCTGTCTGCCTCTACTTCTCAAGTGAGTGCTGGGCTTAAAGGCATGAACCACTGTGCCCGGCTGCTTAATTTGATTTTTTAAAAAAGCAGCTATGATTCAATAACTATGGTTTCTTTTTTTAATTGATCAGCTTTATTTTGTTTTTTGTTTTGACTCTGTGTTTTTGTTTTGTTCTGTTTGTTGTTTTTGTTTGTTTGGGTCTTTTGTTATTGTGAAAGGGTCTCATTATGTAGCCCTGACTGTTTTGGAACTCACTCTGTAACCCAGGTTGGCCTCAAACTCACAAAGATTCGCTTGCCTCTGCCTCCCAAGTGGGATGATGTGGGCATTGTGGCTGCTACAAGTGATCTGTGAGAGTTCTGTGAGCATAGTATGCAGAGTCCCGGGGAACAGATATCCAGGAACTGCTCCTCAAGATCTGTCGTCCTGTTTACTGAAAGGCAGATGCAGGCAGGAATCTCAGCATGAGGGTGAGTTTGGATCACCTTTGTGCTCAGCACAGAGCTGCAGAGAGTTGGCCACTTTCATAGTGACCATGCATGCTTCAGACCCATACTTGACCAGAAGAAGGCATCAGATCCCCCCAGAATTGGAATTGTAGGTGGTTGTAAGCCACCTGATGTGGGTGCAGGGCACCAAACTCAAGCCCTTTGCAAGAACAGGAAACAGCCCTAACCACCAAGCTATCTCTCCATCCTCCAGTGATATCTTCTTGATAAAGTTTCTTAGGATTGTATCCCCACTGACTTACAGCCCCGTCTCTCTCCTCCTCCATCTGTGGGAGCTTGAAGGTAGGGTTCCTGTCTTAACCACATTTATCCACCCAGACACCCGGCTTGGTGCTTCTGCCCCAGCTGTTAATTATATGCTCATTAGGTTTAATTGAATCCTGTTGTTGTAGTTGATGAATAAGAAAGAGCATGCATTTCCATATTATACAGCAGGTTGTAGCCCCAGTCACGCCGAGTTTCTTGCTTTGTTTTTGAACTTGATTGGGTGGCTCCCTAAGAGTTGTAAATTCAGTCTCTGGTGTCTCGTTGATGATCTAAAGTTAAGTGGTCATGGTCTTGCCAGCACCATGGTCCCAACAGAAGAAGCAAACAGTCCATCTCTTGTGTTTGGATACTGTCAAGAAATGCCTCAAGAATTTCTCCCACATGCCTGGCTTGCTCCTGTTGATGTTAGAAACTGAATATGCTCCCAGGTCAAGTCCATAAGCTAGAGCCCCACCCTCAAAAATATCTAAGGAACTATCAACTTGCAGATATTAGTGAGGACATTGACTATAGAAGACAGGATGACAATCCTGAGAAGCACGACAGTAGTCACCGCTAACTAGCTGCGAGCCAACTAGTGCATCATGCTCCAGAGTGTTCTGAGAATCTTCGTGTTAACTCTTCCGTCTGTACTAATTCTATGTTCACTGGTATTCACACACTAGGAACATGAAAACCTGGGCACAGAGAAATGTGTTAGGTAGTTGAAAGTTAGAAAGCCAGTAAGTAGGTGTCTTAGTTAGGGTCTCTATTACTGACCATGACCAAAAAGCTTACACTTCCACATCACTGTTCATCATCAGAGGAAGTCAGGACAGGAACTCAGGCAGGGCAGGAACCTGGAGGCAGGAGCTGATGCAGAGACCAAGGAGGGGTGCTGCTTACTGGCTTGCTCTCCATGGCTTGCTCAGCCTGCTTTTTATAGAACCCAGGACCACCAGCCCACCCACAATAGTCTGGGTCCTCCCCTATCAATCACTAATTAAGAAAATGCCCTACAGCCCAACCTTATGGAGGCATTCTCTCAATTGAGGCTCCTCCTTTCAGATAACTCTAGCTTGTGTCAAGTTGACATAAAATTAGCCAGCACCATAGGACTCCAGATCAGAAACCAGGCTGTTCAGTCAGAGTTTGTCCATTTGTGCAAATATGTGCATGTAGGTTAATTACTGTGGAAAATACTAAGCACCCTGTCCGGTCCCTGGCCCCAGAGAGCCAGACAAACAGAAGAGTAGGATGCAATGCTTGACAAGTGCTAAATGATGTGATATTGACATGAGGCAAAAAGATTTAGAAAAAGATGGGTGGTCAAGTGTCTTTGAGATTTTCCACATCTGAATGTGTGTGACAGGCGTAGATAGGGTGAGCAAGTGTTAGTGCACTTAGGAGGAACACAGCAGGACCTGAAGCTAAGCTTCAGAGATACACAAAGTTCATGCTAGTGTCTGCTCTGCTGCGTGAGACACGGAACCATGGAAAAGTCAGCAATCTCACTTTTAGTCATTAGCAACTGTAGGAGCAAACTCTGAACTCTGAATTCAAAGTCTATGTCCTTGGGGCTTGGCTTAGCCTGTAAAGGGCTTGCCTTTGCATGCATGAGGACCTAAGCTCGATCCTACAGCCCAAGTGACAGAATAGCATGATGGCGCTCTCGGGAGGCAGAGACAGGCATGTCTCTGGGCTCACTGGCCAACCAGCTCAGCCTGCTTGGTGAGTTCCAAGTCAAAGGAAAACACTGCCTCAAAAACAAGGTGGAAAGTGCCTGAGGTGCAAAAACCATGGTTATCCTCTGGCCTCCATGTTTGCGCACGCGCGTGTACACACACACACACACACACACACACATACATACGTGCGCGCTCGCGCACACAAATATGATCAAAAAATAAAATTTAAAAATAAAGCCTCAACAAAATAAACAATAGTTTAGTAATTGTATCTCAGCTGTCTTTCTGTATTTCCATCTGTCTCCTGGTATGTAGGTCTCCTTAGCAACCATCTCCAAGTCAAGATTGACATTCCTCTGCTTCAGGATTTCTCTGTGTTGGAAATACTGACATTTGGGGTGTGATTGTTTTTCACTGAGGGTTGTAGGATGTTTGAGAGCCAACATGTCTCCACAGATGCTCTCTGGAGCAAAATCCACAGAACTGTCTTCACTTGAGACGTGCTGTGCTATTGACAGTAAAATGTGTGAAGAGCTGAAGCAATGGATGAACCCTAGTTCATTTAAGGTGCAGGGATGGAGACTGGGGGCAAACTGACTGCCCAGTATTTTTGTTTCCTTACTTAAGTGAACATTGTATATCAGAAGTCCACAGTTTACTTTTTCTTTTAAAAAAATTAAATTTGTATATACAGTATATTTTATATACTTTTAAAATATTGTTTAATTTAGTGAGTGTGTGTGTGTGTGTAAAATGTGGTGGGGAGAGGAGAGGGTGCTTGCCATGATGCACCTGTAGAAGTCAGAAGTCAACTTTCAGGAGTCAATTCTCCCCTTCTGCCTTTTTATGAGTTCTGGGTCTCAAACTCAGGTCATCCGGCTTGCAGGGCAAGCACTTTTACTGGCTGAGTCATCTTGCCAGACTTCTAACTTAAAAAAAAAAAAAAAAAAAAGCAACCTTGTGACTTCATTGTTTTAGTAACAAAACCAGCTTAGACAGCTAGTCCTGTCTCTTAGCACCTCCCAGTTCAAAATGCTTGCACCCTTACTACCCAGCATTCTCGTAGATCTACAGGTGAGTCCACACATTCAAGCCTCGGCATAAGCAAAAGGCTTAACCTTTTTCCAGAAAACAGGTTTCATCTGCCCATGGCGGCCTCTGGCTTCCGATCCCAATGCCACTTTCCCCAGGCAGAGAGGCCCCTTGTGCCTCCTGCACTGTGTTGCTGAGAGGGCTTGGTGTTCTAGGAACACTCACCGGGTGTGTAGGAGTGCTTGCAGCTCAAAAACTCGTGCACTTTTAACATCTGTTCTGTATTTATCTTATTTTGTGTAAGAACGTTCTGCCTGCGTGAATGTGTGTGCACTGTGTGTGTGTGTCTGGTGCCCATGGAAGTCAAAAGGGAGCATCGGATCCTCTACCCCTGGAGTTACTGAAGGTTGTAGGCACCCCGTGGGGGCTGACACACTCAGCGGCAAACACTCTTAGCCACCGAGCCATCTCCCCAACCCACAAAAACTATATGAGCACATAAGCAGTTATCTATGAAGGAAATCAAGCAATGGAGTATAACACGGAAAAACAAAGACTTTGAATTCAGTATTCAAGATTCAAAGTTTGACTCCATTATCCTGGACTAGATTCTATTAGCAAAATCCTGACTTCTCTGTGGTCTGAATCTCATTCCTCCAGACAAAAGTCTTAGAGAAGTCACTTCTACATAACCCAAATAAGGTGCAATTTAAACAATCGATCCATACTTCTCCCCTCCTCCACTGACCAGTGACCCCCCCAGAATGGGTCTATGTTACTGATGGATCTTGTAGGGAGGAAGAGGTTTAGTCAATGGTTGTGTTGTGCCATCCCCCAGCATCCACCACAATAGAAAATCTTTTATTCTTTCGCTTTTCTAAAATCATCTGATATATGACAAGACCTGAATACTCTCCATAGTCTGGGTCTGTGTAATCATTGCTACCTGAGATTTCAATAGGCATCCCCTACACCTGCCAGGTCTATGGTCTTCAGTGTCTGCTCACTTCACCCAAGGCCACACAGAACATTTGGTTATCTCCTGAAACTCATTGAGATGTGTAGGGACATCTTGGACTAGGAACCCCTAGATCTGTTGCCCTGAGAAACCAATTCAAATCATCAACACCCTGGCCCAGGGTTCTCGAATAGTTTCCCATCTGTGACAAGGCGCTTAAGGGGAGCAGCTGTAAGGGGAAAGGCTCGCTGGGCTCCGGTGTCAGAGGGTTTAACCCCTGGTCATTCCAGCCCATGGAAGCGGTGTGACGTGTGAGAGCCTGACAGGAGGGAGCAGTATTAGTGACTGTCCCCATTACTGGTATAAAACACTTGCAGGAGGCAACTTTAAAGGAGGAAAGATTTACTGGGGATTCATGGTTTGGGGGAATAGAGCCCATCATGGCAGAATAGGCAAGGCCACAGGAGTAGCTTGTGGCTGTTATCAGTAGGAGCATGTGCAGGCGGTTACACGATGTCCAGAGTCAGAAAGCACAGGACTCCGGTAGGAGGATGACCCAGAACCCTCTAGCCCCAATCTCACAGCTCTACCTCTGACTTCTAGGCTGCATGTCCAAAGATTGCAGTGTCCCCAAATAGCACTGTCCAATGGTAGACATTTCACATCCAAACCGCAGACCGCAGTGACTTTTGGTGGCCTCCTCTTTTGCATTCCACATCATTTCAAAATTATGTTGTTATTATTATTGTGTAAGTGTGGTGTGTATGTTTGTGTGTATGTGTACATGTGTGCACATAAGGAGAGACATGTTGGATTCTTTGGAGCTGGAGTTATAGGTAGTTGTAAGCTTCCTGATGTGGGTACTGGGAATTGAACTCGGGTCCTCTACATGACTCATATGCACTCGACCACTGAGCCATCTCTCCAGTCCCACCGCCTTATTTTTTTAAGGCAAGGTAGAGACTGATCCTGGAGCTCGTCATTCACTGGCACTAAGCTGGCTGGCCGGCAAGCCCCAGCATCCATCTCTCTGCATCGTCCCATCACTGGAGTTACAGTCACATGCCACCACACCTGGCATCTATGTTGTGTGCCGGGAACCAAACTCAGGTCCTTTGGGAGAGCAGTGAGTAAGTGCCCTTAGCTACTGAACCATCTCTCTAGCTCCTGGAAATATTTCTGAGTTTTAAGTTATGCATTTGTTTGATTTAAATTCTAAAGAATGATGGTGGAGGTTTGCAAGTGGTGTACATTCTAATTAGCCAGAGCAGTAAGTTATTGCAGTCGTGAAAACCAATAGAAACTGGATTGTAATGTGTTTTGTTTCAGACACATGTATGACCACTTCACAAACCTGTACCCACAGCTGATCAAGGACCCTTCCATCATGGACAAAGTGAAGAACTTCATGGAGTATGTATAAAAGCTTCCTGTCCTCATCGCCAGGGCTACCTTGCAATCCTGCCCTTGCCAAGTTCCTATTCTGTCTCTTCAGCAGAGCCTGGAGTGGGTCACATTTTCTGTAATGGAGTAAAACCTGGTTGCTAGCAATTTCAGCTCTATCAGAGGTCAGCTTGAACGTTACATTACTAATAGACGAAACAGCTAGAAGTCATTGTCAGTGGCGAACAGACAAAGCCATATCCCTGAAGCCTCCCACGCAGGTGTCCCTCACTTTCTTTCTAGGCATCCCTTCTCCTCCATACTTGAGGTGTTTCTGGGTCATGCACCCGGCAATTAACTCTAGCTGGGTGTTAGGGCCTATCTAAATCCCTAACCTGGAAGGTGGGGACACGTACAGGGTCTTACTGTGTAGCCCAGACTGACCTCAAATTCACAGTCCCACTGCCTCAGCCTCTGGAGTACAGAGATTACACATGTACCCAGTTCTAAAGTCAGACTTCTAGTGCTTTCTGGGGGTATTTCCATTTTAATTAAATTTTCTGGAGAGTAGATTTTAAATATAATGAAATCGATGGCATGACAGGAGAGTCACCTGGGGACACAAAGGTTCTTGTGTGGCCTGCTGAATCACACGTTAAACATCCCATCCGTGAAAGGCTAAGAAGCCGAACTATGAGGCTGGATCCCCTGAGGTGTGCACTGGATTGTCCTAGCGGAGACACCCTAAACAAACCAGAAATGACTTTCTGTGTGAAAAATTATGTCAGACCATTAAATCATCCCATAGAAAGAACAGAGAACTAAGAGAAGTGAAAATGAAAGAATTGTTAAAATAAATCATGTGTGGCCCGGAGAGGTGGCTCCACAGTTAAGAGCGCTCGTTGCTCTTGTAGAGGACCTGGGTTCTGTTTCCAGAACCCACATGGTGGCTCACAACAACCTCTAACTCCAGTTCCCGGGGATTCAGCGCCCTGTTCTGGCCTCCACAGGTACTGCATGCACATGGCTCACAGCCATATTGGCAGGCAAAATAATCATACTGCATAAATTAAAAAACAATCTTTTTTTCTGAGAATGCTAGAACAGAAATGTTGAGGCAGACACCAATAACAAACTGAGATGGGATGGAGAGATGTAAGACGAGCAGAGCCATGTTTAAACACCTTGTCCTCAGAGCATTGTCTCCCGTCGTCCGTTCAATTCTCCACACAAAAGTGAAGTTAACCAGCCTGTCTTTACTGCTGAAGCAGGGCTTTAAGGGCTGTATAGTGACAGTCTGCCCTTGGCTTTCACAGGTTAGTATCACATGCTAGATAGGGCCCCCCGGAAGCTATGACGGCGTCAACATCCTAGGGTGAAATTAGAAACAGTTAACGTGTGTACTGAAATCACTTAGTGACTGTAATAAATTGTAGAAGTTAATTATACCAGCGTGTGTGGGTAGGTGACCTCTAGACTCTTGGTTTGATTTGGCTTTGAGTGAGTCACCATTGAGATCTGTGGTCAAATCTAATTTCTCCAATTTCTCCCCCAGTAAGCAGGACACGTGGACTCGGAAAAACATCAAAGAACAGACGGATGACCCATTTTGGAGACACACCGGCTACGTTGTAGCACAGCTGGACGGACTTTATATCGGAGCACTGAAAAGAGCTACAGAGGAAAATGTAAAGGTAAAACTTTGCAAACGTGCCTCGGAGTGTGTACGGTCTGAAGGATGAAAAAGAATTTTTAAATCCAAGGTTAGGGATATGGCTAGATGCATGTTCTGGGTTCTGTCACTAATGCTATAAACAAAAAATAAAATAAAGTATCCTCACCTAATTGTCCTTCCTACAGAGATCCATTTAAATAAATCCAACTGACGAAACAAACAAGCCAAATATCAAGAGTACATGGTCTGGGTTGAGGATTTAGCTCAGTGGTAGAGCGCTTGCCTAGCAAGCACAAGGCCCTGAGTACATAGTGAGACTCTATCTCAACAAAGCATAAAGAAGCATTCCAAGTTAGTCGCAGATCAAAGTGGGACCAGAATATACATTCCTCAACAAGCACTGTTCTGTCTGTCGTACTGTGACATCTAACTGCCCAACACAGTTTTGGTGCAAAACATAGTTTGCTTCTGTTTTTCCAGTCTGCTCTATACACAGCTGGTGCTGACATTGAAGAGCTAGTCACAAATGTACAGGCTTTTTAGCCAACTTGACAGGAGTTTGTGTTTTAGATTACCATCTCATTAAGGCAAAAATGTCTTAGTGTATAAATTGATTGCCACAGCCAGTGACAAACACACAAATGTGCAAAACTATGTGTCTTCATTCTGGAAGGAAACTAAGAAACCTTGAAGCAGTTAAGGTACCAGCTGGCGCAGTCCCAAAAGTTATGGATATTTTGTTCCCTTGGGGTAATGTGTGTGTGTGTGTGTGTGTGTGTGTGTGTGTGTGTGTGTGTAGATCTATATGTGTATACATAGGGCAAAATATTTGAAAAAAGTTCACCAAAATGATGTTCATAATCCTTAATCATAGGAGACTACCCTTGTTCATAAATTAGAAATACAACTTAAAAGCTGGGCATGGTGACTCACGCCTGAAACTCAAGCACTTGGGGTGTGGAGGTAGGGGGATCAGGAGTTCAAGGCCACGTGCTGGTTAGTTTTAACTGTCAACACAACTAAGAATCATCAGGGAAGAGACTCTTGAGGGATTGTCCAGGTCAGGTTGACTTTTGATGGTTAACTGAGATGGGGAACCCACCCTGAATGTGGGGCACCATGTGATGGGCTGTGCCCTGGACTGCAGAATAGAGAACGCTGGATGAGTACCAAGTACACAGCAAGGATGCATTCTCTTCCTCTCGGCCTGGATGTGTCTTGACCTCCCTAACATGATGGACCGGAACCTGGACTTGTAAGCCAAGTAGATCCTTTCCTTCCCTCAGTCACATCTTATCAGACATTGTATCACATCAACAGAAATGAAACCAGAACAGCCATCTTCAGTTGCTGAGGAAATCTGAGGCCAGCCTGGGCTACATGAGACACTTTATGTGCTGGCTAGTTTCATGTCAGCTTGACACAGGCTAGAGTCATCTGAGAGAAAGGGACCTTAATTGAAAAATGCCTCCATAAGATGTGGCTGTAGGCAAGCCTGTAGGGCACTTTCTTGATTAGCCATTGATGGGGGAGGGCTCAGGCCATTGTGGGTGGTGCCATCTCTGGGCTGGTGGTCCTGGGTTCTATAAGAAAGCAGGCTGAGTAAGCCAGTAAGCAGCACCCCTCCATGGCTTCTGCATCAGCTCCTGCCTCCAGGCTCCTGCCCTGTGTGAGTGCCTGCCCTGACTTCCTTCAGTGATGGACTAGGCTGTGGAAGTGTGAGCCACATAAACGCTTTTCTCCCTAAGTTGCTTTGGTCATGGTGTTGCATCACAGCAGCAGTGTCCCTGACTAGGACACTGTATAGGAAAGAGAGAAGGAAAGGAAAAGGAGGGGCAGGGGAGGACAGAAGGAAATGTGAAACCATCCTGATAAAAAGTTCCGCAGTTGCCGGGCGGTGGTGGCGCACACCTTTAATCCCAGCACTCGGGAGGCAGAGCCAGGCGGATCTCTGTGAGTTCGAGGCCAGCCTGGGCTACCAAGTGAGTTCCAGGAGAGGCTCTACACAAAGAAACCCTGTCTCGAAAAACCAAAAAAAAAAAAAAAAAGTTCCGCAGCAGTCTGGTGTTGACAAGGCTGTGAGAAAAGAGGGCATTGTCCTAAACGCTGGTCAGAATTGGTGTAGTTTGTATGAAAACCAGGCACTCATGCCCCTGACCCAGCAGCCCCCCTTCTAGTGTTACCCCAACGACACACTGGCAAATATGCAACGAGGCGGGTGTGCGAAGCTGCTCATTACAGGTCAGGAATCAGATTCACACTAGCCAAATGCTGAGAGGACCAACCATGCAAACGAAGGAGCTCTGACAAATCCAGCTTCTGTTTGGGGACAGCCTCAGGGGTTGTCACGAAGTATAAAAGAAAGTAAGGTGAAGAGCATGCTTCTTACATGCTGCCTTCTACATAGGAAGATAAGGATGGATGGAAGGGTAGAGAGATACATAGATGATAGGCAGGTAGATAGATGGTAGATAGATGTTAGATGGATGATAGATAGATAGATAGATTGATAGATAGATAGATAGATAGATAGATAGATAGATAGATAGATAGATATTTTCTGATCAAGAATAAACAATAAGTCTAGTGAGAGGGTTAGGGGTAAAGTATCTTGTTGCCAAGCCTGATGATCTGGGTTCAATCACTATGTAAACATAGTGAAAGGAGAGGACTAACTCCTACAAATTGTCCTCTGGTGTCCATATGTGCAGAGTGGCATATGAGTACACACACCCCAACACCTTCCACCCCCTCCCAAACAAAAATATAAAATATAATTTAAACATTTTTAAAGAATAAAACCCTAGGGGTCTGCAGAGACGGCTCAGCAGTTAAGAGCACTGGCTGCTCCTGCAGAGGAGACAGGTTCAATTCCCTGCACCCACAATTGGCTTCACAACATGTATGTGACTCTAGTTCTTAGATCTTGTGCCCTCTTCTGGCCTCCTTGGGTACTGCATGCATAAAGATGACAGGTCACCAATCAGTGCTCAGTGATATTGTGTGTCCTTTCACAGCCCTTGACGATGTCCCAAGTTCAGTTTCTGAATGCCGTTGGCGACCTGCTGGACCTCATCCCCTCACTATCTCCCACAAAAGACGACAGCATGAAGGTGTTTAAGAGATGGGACATGGGCCACTGCTCTGCTCTTATTAAGGTGAGACCCAGAGCTCCTGTCTTCTTCCCCCCACACAGACTTTGTATTGGCATATACTAATTAGACACCATAACCAGTTTCACTAATCACATTTTCAACCCATTTTTTCCATATGTCTGTCGCCCATAAATAGCAAACCTCTCCCCACCCCTGGCTGGCTACGGACCACTGCATAGACCTTCTGTGGTAGTAAAGAACCAGCAGGAACTTGGATGTGGGGAATGGGACATGATATTGCCTACTTCTTCCACAATTCTGCCTGTGCTGGATACATGTGCCATTCCTACCTTCCAGATTCTTCTGTTTTACACTTTTGAAGGACAGTCTGTGTCGCAGACATTCAATGTTAATGTTGGCCATATTTTCCAATAACAAAGAAAGCAATAATTGTAGCTTGAGTTTTCCTGCCTGGCCCACAGTCAGGACAAATCTCTCTCACCTGCCAGTCCCACAGCCGCTCAAACCCGACCAAGTAAACACAGAGACTTATATTGGTTACAAACTGTATGGCCATGGCAGGCTTCTTGCTAACTGTTCTTACAGCTTAAATTAATCCATTTCTATAAATCTATACCCTGCCACATGGCTCATGGCTTACCGGCATCTTCACATGCTGTTTGTCATCATGGCGGCTGGCAGTGTCTCTCTGACTCAGCCTTCCACTTCCCAGCTTTATTCTCCTCCTTGTCCCGCCTACACTTCCTGCCTAGCCAATGGCCAATCAGTGTTTTATTTAATGACTAATCAGCAACACATTTGCCATACAGAACATCCTACAGCATTCCCCCCCCCCTTTTTTTTTTCAAAAAGAAAGGTTTTAACCTTAACAAAGTAAAATTACATATAATTTGGGAATTTGGGCGTAGCTTCTCTTACTACTTCCTGCTGGAGGGGGGCGCTGTATCTTATGGGGACACAAAGAAAATTTTAGGATCATGGAGTAGTCCATGAGGCTGTATCGTCTGAGCCAGATGCCTTCAAACCATTCTGGATGTTGGATCATCTGGGCCATAGTGTCATCGGAGACCTTTCAGGGGGTCTTGGCTGGTCAAACCTGATGTATCTTAATCTGGAACAAATCCATAGCCTCTGACTTTCTGTGGGAACAAAAGCAGAGTCTCCTTTCCAAAGTAACATATCTTTACATCCAAATTTTGAAGTCAAGATATCTTTAAAATATACATATTGGTTTAACTCAGCTTCCTTTACAATCAAATGTCTCTCTGCAGTTAAGAATCCCAAAGACAACACAATCCAGATTCTCTGTGTAATATTCATCTTCACGTGGCTTAATTTTTTTATATTAATTTTGCTGTCTCTTTAAAGACTTTATTTTTTAAAACTATGTATTTGTTTATATAACTGTATATATCACCTTTTTTGTCTTTTTCAAGCCTACGTATATTTTACACACATTGTAAACTATTACATCTGAATCTGTCTTATTGTGAATCTATTGCTTTAAACTGCAGCAGCTGTGGCTGCTGACTCCGCCCACCTCAGCTTCCCAACATGGCGGTGGTTTACCGCCAGCTCTGGGAGCTATCATGGGTCTATGCTTTTATCCAAGCAGCATGTAGCCCAGAAACCTCTTTTTTTGTTTTGTACTAATAAAGGCTAAATCCACCATGCAGCTTAATGTGCCCCTTGCAGAGGCCTCATTCCCGCCATACTGCAGATCAAGTGCACACGCTAGGAACCCACCAGTAGTTCAAACTGGCAGCTGCCGCTCATTTGAGAGAGACAATTAGGAACTGTTTTTAGCTCCGTTTTAAAATCTTTTTTCTCAGTTTTTAGGTGGAAACTCTTGCCACCACGTTGGGCGACATTTGTTGCTAAAGTTTTCCTGTCTGACCCACAGTCAGGACAAATCTCTCTCACCTGCCAGTCCCACAGCCGCTCAAACCCGACCAAGTAAACACAGAGACTTATATTGGTTACAAACTGTATGGCCGTGGCAGGCTTCTTGCTAACTGTTCTTACAGCTTAAATTAATCCATTTCTATTAATCTATACCTTGCCACGTGGCTCGTGGCTTACTGGCATCTTCACATGCTGTTTGTCGTCATGGCGGCTGGCAGTGTCTCTCTGACTCAGCCTTCCACTTCCCAGCTTTATTCTCCTCCTTGTCCCGCCTACACTTCCTGCCTAGCCAATGGCCAATCAGTGTTTTATTTATTGACTAATCAGCAACACATTTGCCATACAGAACATCCTACAGCAAATAATAGTGGAAGAGATCTCTCAGCAGGTAAAGGCTCTTGCAGCCAAGCCTGGTGGCCTGAGTTCAATCCCTGAGACCCAGAAGGAGAGAACTGACTCCCACAAATTATCCTCTGACCTCCACGTGTATACCATGGCCCACTCACATCCACAGGAATACATACACATGCTCACACAAGTAACCAAATGTAATTATTTTTAAGAAGAGAGCACCATAAATATAAGTTGGCACAAATCCCTGAGGGCCACCCACATGTATTATGCACCCAGTTTCTATATGCCTGGGACACTCACTATGATTTTGACTGCAGGTCCTTCCTGGATTTGAGGACATCTATTTTGCGCACTCGAGCTGGTACACATATGCAGCCATGCTCAGGATCTACAAACACTGGGACTTCAACATAAAGGACAAAGACACCAAAAGCAGCCGGTACTCCTTCAGCAGCTACCCAGGTAAATACATTTAGTGGGAGATCTGAGGATGTTTTCAAATAAAACTGCGGTGATCTGAAGTTAACTGCAGGAGAGATGAAATGTCCCCGGCTGGGGTACAGTTGGATGTTTGGAGGGTTGTTTGAAGAAATAAAGTTGTCTTATCTGATAGAATGCCGCACGTGGGTTCACAGAGCTGCCAAGTACTTTGCAAACCTAAGTAGATGCGTCTGAACGTCTGTCGAGCGCCGAGATAACACTGAGGTGTCTATTTCCCAGGTTGTGTGGTGCTAGCCGAGGAACTCCCCTGCCTTTGGTGTCTCAGTTTCCCTCATTCACAGCAGTGTGCCCACGCTTCACCTGGCGTGTGAGTCCTAGGGCATGGCCGATGGATGACTGAGTGTGCAGACTTGCAGACTTTTAGCCCTGGCACAGCAGACAGGAGAGCCGGGAATTGCAGGGAATTGCAATTTCGTTGCATAGCATGGGTTCTGTTGCTGCCATAGAGTGCCCTGGCAAAAGCAACTTAAGGGAGAAAGGGCTTGTGTTGACTGACAGTTAGGGGTGTGGAAGTCCTAGAGGCAAGAGCTTGAGGCAGCTGGCCATGTTGTATCCACCGTCAGGAAGCAGAAAAGAGACGACTGCTCCTCTTCAGCCTCCTTTCTTCTTTTCTCCAACCTATGACCCAAGGCAGGGAAAGGGGCCCTCACCTGCTGTTAGGCTGGTGTTCCCACCTCCATTAACCTAGTAAAATAATCCTCCACAGGCTTAGCCAGAGCTAACCTAATCTAGGTAATCCCTCACAGGTGTGCCCAGAGGCTTGTCTCCTGGGTGACTGAAGATCCAATCAAGTCGATGATCAGCATTAAATTAACCATGACAGCTATAAAAGGCTTTTTATGTTTGTTTTGTTTTGTTTTAGTGTGGGTTTTGGTTTTGGTTTTCAAAACAGGGTTTCTCTGTGTAGACCCAGATGTCCTAGAACTCACTCTGCAGACCAGGCTGACCTCGAACTCACAGAGATCTGCCTGCCTCTGCCTCCCGAGTGCTGGGATTAAAGGCGTGCGCCACCACCGCCCAAAGAGGACGAGCGCCGCACCACATCTGCTTTGTGAGGAAAGAGCGGTTGACACTTGAGATGAATGGTAACTAGAATGAGAACAGCAGAGGGGGATGGGAGGTCTCAGGGAGGAGGACTAGCAAATGCCAATGTCTGGAGGACAGTTGGGGATGCCAGTGAACGAAGGCCAAGGATAACGAGACAGAGAGGGCACAACTGTAGTGATCAGCGGGCATGTCGAGAGATGGGGGCAGAAATGTGAAGCCAGTATTTCCAGAGCCCCAACTTCTTGAGAATAGAATATAGATTAGGGATGGGCACAGTGGAGCATGCCTTTAATCCCACCACTCAAGAGGCAGAAGCAGGCAGGGCCTTGTGATTTTTGAGGTCAACCTGGCCTACATAGAGAGTTCCAGGTCACTTAGGACTACATAGTGAAACCCTTTAGGAAGGAAGGGAGGAAGGGAGGAAGGGAGGAAGGGAGGATGGAAGGAAGGAAGGAAGGAAGGGGAGAGAAAGAAAGAGAGAAAGAAGAAAGGAAGGAAGAAATGAAGAAAGAGAAGGATGAGAAAGGAAAAGAGAGAGAGAAAGAAAGAAAGAAAGAAAAGAAAGAAAGAAAGAAAGAAAGAAAGAAAGAAAGAAAGAAAGAAAGAAAGAAGAAAGAAAGAAAAAGAAAGAGAAGAAAGAAAGGGGGGAGAAAAAGAAAGCAGAAAAAAGAGAGGAAAAAGAACAAAGGAAGGAAGGATGGATGGATGGATAGATAGATGTAGATAGATAGATAGACAGACAGACAGACAGACAGCTAATGAGATAACTAGTTGGTAAATGAGCCTGCTGCCAAGTCTAAGGACCTGACTTTGATTCCCAGGACCCTCATGGTGGAAGGAGAGAACTAACTTCTGCAAATTATCCTATGACCTCCACATGTGCACCATATGTTACGTGCTCCCACATACAATAAATAATTTAAAATGTAATTTTAAATGTTTTTAAAAGAATACATAAGTCAATACAGATAATACAAAGACCCTTCTAGATCAGCTGAAACTCCAAAGGCAACAAAAGACTTTTAGAAGCAAGGTCTTGCTGTGTGGCCTGTCTGGTGTCCATACCCCTGCCCTGACTCCCCAGCCATCACTCCTTGTGCCTCTACACCCAGCACAAGAGGCATTTTCATCCTCCAGGTATTTTTTCAGGAGCCCACGGAACAATGTAACCCATGTGTCCTCTAATTAGAGAGCTCTGTTTTCAATAGGAGATTGAAGACAAGACTGGTTGGTTAAGGGATCAGCCATGTTGGATTCATACTGTAGATGTGGAATTGGCTTTGGCATGAAGCTGGCACCATGGAGATTGGGTTCTCCTCTGTGGTTGGGTGGAAGAGAAGTGGGGTGTTAGTTTGGGGTTGAAGAGCTGTGACCTGGAAGCTCTTCTAAACCTGAGGGAGGAGATTAGGAATCCCTCAGTCAATAGTTCAGTGCAACGTGCCACACTTTTGAGATTTCCTAACAGAAGATCTTATATGTTCTTACCATGTACACACACGAAAAGGTGACTATGTGAGCCGATGGAGGTGTTGTTTGGCTACTATACATGAATATTCCATATAGATGGCTTAGTAGTTAGAGCACTCACTGCTCTTTGTGAGGACCCAGGTTCAATTCCTAGCACCTATATCAAGCGGTTCACAGCTACATGTCACTTCAGCTCCAGGGATATAATGCCCTCTGGCCTCTGCAGCACCTGTACACAAGTACTACATATAAACTCATGAAGACACGCACATACACACACACACACACACACACACACACACACACATACACACATACACATACACACGCATATACACACACAGAAATACACATAAAGATTTTTAAAAAACATGTGAAGCCTTGAATATATACAGGTTTTATTTGTCAATTATGCCATAGTAAAACTTGAAGATGGAAATTAATTAGGACATAAGCAAATGACTTAGTTCAGATATTTACATTAAAATTAAACAAAAGAAATATAAAATTTTAAAAATTCCTGAGTCAGAACATACATATCAAGCATGAAGCAAAGACTCAACACTTCTTGGAAATGACAGTGACTGGGATGATGTAGCTCCTTCTGCAGATTCAGCCATGTTGGACATTTCATATGTTCATTTCACAATGTGCTGTGCTCTTGACCTGGGGTTATGAAGTGGCTATTGAGATGATTCTCATGGAGCTAGGCATGGTAACTCTATAATCACAAGTCTATAATCACAGTACTTGAAAAGCTGGAGCACAGGCCAGGCAGTGGTGGCGCTCGCCTTTGATCCCAGCACTCAAGAGGCAGAGCCAGGCGGATCTCTGTGAGTTTGAGGCCAGCCTGGTCTACAGAGCGAGATCCAGGACAGGCACCAAAACTATACAGAGAAAGCCTGTCTTAAAAAAAAAAAAAAAAGAAACAAATAAACAAAAGCTGGGGCAGGAGGATTGCTGTGAGTTTAAGGCCAGCCTGGACTGTATTATAGTTCTGCCCTGTAGTCCTGGTTTGTGGGAAAAGGAAGCAGGAGGATCAGAAGTCAGAGGAAACCTCTGTTCACAGTGAAACCCTGCCTCAAACAACTACTAATGAGCATTTTCTTTGAAGTTTCTAAGCTTGAATGCCTGTTAAACTGTGCTCAACATTCCCACCCTGCTCCTTAAATGTTAGCGAGCTTCAGTTTTTTCAACAACAAAAAAAGGGCTAAAAATGTCACTTTGTAAAGGTGCACACATTAGAGTGTATTTATTCAAACTTGATTTTCTATTAAATCGTTTTTTATTTAGTAATTATTACATTTTTGGCAAGGTATTTATGATGAGGAGCTGGAGAGATGGATCATCATTTAGCACTTGCTGCTCTTGCAGAGGACCTGAGTTTGATTCCCAGCACCCACAGGGCGACTCACAACATCTGTAACCCCAGTCCCAGGGGATCCAATGTCCTCTTCTGCCCTTGTGGGCACTAGGCAAACACATGGTGCATAAACACATAGAATAATAAAATAAAACTAAAAAAGCATGATAGAGAGCAAGAGAGGCACAGTGTTTAATAGTACAAAATGTACACTCTTGTGACATAGACAAAATTAAAATAAGAAAGCACTGACAGGGATGAGCAGTTGGCTCAGCAAAGGGACTTGCTATCAGACCTCATGACCTGAGCTCCAACCTCAGGACCCACAAGGTGGAAAATAAAGTAAATCTTATTTTTTTATTTTAATTTTAATTTTACATGAATGTATGTTTTGCCTGCATATATGTCTACATATCACCTGTGTGTCTGGTGCCCATGGGGGCCAGAAGAGGGTGTCAGATACCCTGGAACTGGACTTACAGATGGTTGTGAGGCATCATATGGGTGGTGGGAATTGAACTGGGTCCTCCACAAAAGCAACACTTGGTCTTAATCACTGAGCCATCTCTCCAGCCCCCTGAATATTTTCTAATAAAATAAAATTGAAGTTGAAACACAGAAGACAAGCCAAGTTAGCCATGCATTGGGGAGAAGTCAGTAAGACAGTACTGCATGGGGATCAGACACTGCACGGGCGAAAGGCCATGTAGAGGAGGCCAGGAAGGAGGAAGTCAGTGCAGGACCCTTAAGACGGCATGTGGAAGCAACCTAAACAGAGCTGTGCTTCCAACTGTCTAGCTCATCAGACGTGGAGAACTGGAGTGCTAATGTGAAATATGGAAAGCTAGTGTAGCCCTTCAGGTAGCTGGCAGCACCCTAATGCTTCCTAAATGGTCGGTCTGTGTATAGGTAGAACACAGTTGTCCATCTTCCAGAAGGAAATAGAACTTTAAAAGAGACTTCGAAAGTGCTGCCGCTCATCATGGCATTATGTGTGCCCTTTGTCCTACCTAGCCAGGATCCTGTCAATTTAGTGTGTGTGTGTGTGTGTGTGTGTGTGTGTGTGTGTGTGTGTGTGTGTGTG